ACCTGAGCCAAAGTCGGATGCTTAACTGATTGAGCCACCCAGGCGCCCCAGGATTTGTTTTCTTAATGTGGCGTCTCTGGAGCTTTAGAGGCAAACAAATCTTTAAACAATAAACGAACATAAGATAATGTGGTTGTATTGTGTTGATTTTAAGTGAAATGTTGAATTTACAACGTTAAAAAAAAAAAACACCTTACGGTCATCTTTGAGGCTCATCGCCCCGATCTATGTCAGCTAAATACTTTGTCCCCCATTAACTACTGTACTCAATTTGGTAATAAAAACACAAACTAAATGCTTCCTACTTTACGGTACTGCCTGGGATCGACTCCATTGCTGTCGTCCTGTGTTAAGGCAATTCTAACCTCTGTACTCTTCAGTATGCAGTTACTCAAAGCCACTGTCCTGAAATGGGAAAAAAATCAGTTCCTGAGTGAAAATCAGATGATGTACAGTAATTTCGTGCAAGTATAATTCAGTTCTTCTTAAACATTATTCATAAGGAGTTCTTCTGTAAATCAAAGGCTGCTCTACCTTGGAGTCGATTACGAAGCACTCTAAAATTTCTTTTTCCTAGAGATTAATCGCAAGATAGATTTGCATTTGTCCAGAATGGTTTCTGTCCATCTGCCTGGAATATCATAAACACAAAATCTAGGGTCTGTGTGCTTTTCAAACACCCATGAAAGATGTTTGAGTTTTGAAAAAAGTATTGCCTCTAAAGTCTGAAAAGAAACTTGAAAAATTAATGTAAATGTTTTAATATTAAATTATATTTGAGAACAGTTTTCTCATTTTGCAAGAAGTTTGAGGTATACAACCTGCTGAATAATTTCAAATGCTTGATTTCAAAACTTTATGTGATGAAAATCATATTTAATGGGGAATGTGGGTACATTTTAATGTTTTAATATACTGGATGTGAGGGAGGGCATCACAGTGTAAGCTTGCCCAGACCCTCAAAGATCTTGAAATTTATGTGACCTGAACTGAGGGATCTGGATGTCTTTCAGAAGCCCCTAGGAGTTTCTATGAACACGTGGCGTTTTAAAACATGTGATAAATTCTGGTTAGTGCCTCTAATGCTAAGAGTTGCTTTTGTCCCTTGAGAGACCATCTGAACCAATCCTGACATTGTAGATTCTCACCAAAGATTTTTGACTTCCCAGAATTTTCTGGAAACTGTACTAATTTCCCTGAGACAGGTTTGTAGCATCTGAGATTGCCCAAATGCCAAACATAACCTCTCACTGGAGAAAACTCGAAAGGTTTCTAGAGTTATTTATTCTAACAGTCCCCAACATCTTGGAAAGTCCTCTGTACCCAGATGGGGTTACTGCTGTGTGGTTTATCAGCTGTCAGTACCAATCCTTTGACTTTTTGTCTGCACAGTTATGGACATACGAGGGCAGGTAGAAACAGGTCTTGTAAGCAGTAACCCCAACTTCTCCAGAATACGTCTCTTCAGATTCTCAATTACTTTTTTTTTTTTTTTTTTTTTTTTATTGAGCTATGGATTATATTAGAGAAAACTTTTGGTTATCTGGGAAAATGACACCAACGTTCATTTGGAGTTGCCTTGTCTTGGGTATCAGTCACAAAATCATACTCCCAGGAAAAACAGAGTTAATGATTTTTATACGTATCGAATAGCTACCATGTACCAGATACTGTTGGGATAGATCAGTGCAGGAAAGCAGACAAAAATTCACCCCTTTGTGGCAGAACATTCTTGGAGCTCTCAAAAGTAAATTGGATTTAGTCTCCTAAGCACCCCATCAGTGAGCTATATGCATGGTAAACTGTTTCCCGTTATGTAAGTGAAAGTTATGCCATGGATGTGTTCACTTCCTTACAAGCTGGAAGCCAGGACTGATGCCCAACAATCTTAACAGTAAGTTCCTTAAAAACTGTGGCGTTTGAAATAAGACTGCAGGTAACATATTTGTACATGTACGACCATTTCTACCTATATCACATCATCTCTTTTTTAGGTAAAATTTATTTTTTTTTAATTAATTAATTTTTTTTTCAACGTTTATTTATTTTTGGGACAGAGAGAGACAGAGCATGAACGGGGGAGGGGCAGAGAGAGAGGGAGACACAGAATCGGAAACAGGCTCCAGGCTCTGAGCCATCAGCCCAGAGCCTGACGTGGGGCTCGAACTCACGGACCGCGAGATCGTGACCTGGCTGAAGTCGGACGCTTAACCGACTGCGCCACCCAGGCGCCCCATGGTAAAATTTAAATGAGGAAATAAATCTCCTTCGAAGGGCATCCATAGGTAACTGAGAGATTTGTGCATATACAAGGTACAAATGACACTTTAACTAATTACTGCATCTTTTTCCAGAATGGGTAAAAAGGTAAAGAAGGAAGCAGAACCCCCTCCTAAGGATGTGGTAAGTTTCTGATTTTAAGACTAGTAGCACGTTAACAACCAGTTTTAAAAATAAATTGTTCCAACTGTTTGGCATGTACCAGCATATACATGAGTACACATTGGCAGAAGTCCAAAGTCTGACTAATGATAAGATTAGTTAGAGAAATCTAACATTATATAAACAAACATTTACAACGTTGTCATTACATAATCAGCACAATTAGAGAGTAATTATTAGCTTTTCCAGGATGCGGATGGCGTGTTTATGGGCCTAGTTAATGACCAAATAGTTTTGGTTTGTTCTTTTAAATATTTTAAATTGATATTTGCTGGTCCCTCGTTTATGTTAATCATCCAAGTGCGTTTTCAAAAATAACTAGGAGTTTATGCTATAGCTATTAGCTCTGTATATGAGGTTGTCTGAAATGACCATTTGAACATCAGAAGGCTCGTATTTTCCAGTTCTATGGAGAGAAAAGTCTGGGTTCATCATCTTTTTCTGTTCCAGATGTTTGAGTAATACATTGCCTAAAACACAAAGCCCTGTCTCTCTTTTCAAAGTATGTTTTTATCTTATTTCTCTAAGGTTTATGAATTACCAAAAGATGATGTTAAAAATAAAAAATAAACTTGGACAGTTTTCAGATTAGAAACTTATTTTGAGGGACACCTGCCTGGCTCAGTCGGTGGAGCGTGTGACTCTGGATCTCGGGGTTGTGAATTCGAGCCCCACGTTGGGTATAGAGATTACTCAAAAATCTTAGGGGCACCTGGGTGGCTCAGGCAGTTGAGCGTCCGACTTCGGCTCAGGTCATGATCTCACGGTTCACGAGTTCGAGCCCCGCGTCGGGCTCTGTGCTGACAGCTCAGAGCCTGGAGGCTGTTTTGGATTCTGTGTCTCCCTCTCTCTCTGCCCCTCTCCCGCTCCCTCAAAAATAAATAAACATTAAAATAAATGAAGAGATGAAAAATCTTTAAGAGCGAAAAGAAACTCATTTTGAAACAGACATTTGGTGTGATTTTCTTCAAGTAAAATGTGACTGAAAAAAAGTGTTTATGGTCCGTCAGTAGACTCACAGGGATTTTATAGTTTGAAGGAAGCTGGGCTTAGTGCAAGGTCTTTCCAACAGCACTGGAGCTTTGCGGTTACAAATGTGAGCTACGTCCCAGCTCTGCGTCTCATGACCTGTGTTATTTGGCACAGCGTTGCCAAATGTGGCCATGTTCTTTCAGTTCTTGTTTGAAATTTCTTCAGTGTGAATTGTGAGGCCCAATTCGTTTTGGTTGTTGTGTGAATTAAAATGAAGTAAAGCTCATCACGGTTCTCAGTGCCTGGCACATAGTTAACGCTAGTAAATAAGACCTAATGTTGCGGGTCTCCTTTCGATTCTGATACACAGACCCACACAGACACACACCTATGTAACTTCCTATGTTTGGTCCTTCAGTACAGTTGGGAACGAAGACTCCAGAAGTATCTGTCTGGGGGCACCTGGGTGGCTCAGTCGGTTAACCGTCTGACTCTTGAGTTCGGCTCAGGTCATGATCTCACGATTCCTGAGATCTGGCCCTGCGACGGGCTTTGTGCTGATACTGTGGAGCTGGCTTGGGATTCTCGCTCTCCCTCTCCCTCTCCACTGCTTCTGTGCACTCTCTCTCTCAAAAGAAATAAACTTAAATAAAACGAGATGAAGGAGAAGCATCTGTCTGCTCCGGTCTAGGAACACTTTGCAGAGATAGATGGCCATTGTGGTTCACGATACAGTTTCATCATTCCAGTTGCTCTCTTTTGGACATCCTCCTAAAATGTTCCAAATTCTCTTATTTTTTTTTCATTGCCACTTAAGTTTGAATTACCCCTTTTTGCTGCAAAATAGCATTTTTAGAAAAAAGATTTTATTTTTAAGTAATCCCTACGCCCAGCATGGGGCTCGAACTCACAACCCCGACTGAGCCAGCCATTTTCCCCGGTCAATATCATTATTGACATCTTATTACCGGAAAGTGGATTAATGAACACAGTACTTGATGACAAACATTTTCTGATGAAAATTAGAATTAAGGGACCGTTAAACAATAGATATATTTGTCTAATACACTTCCTATAATTTTGTAATGTTTTGCTGGGTTGTCCTCCGTATTCCAGTCCTTGGGGGGCACAATCAAGGACTTGAGAAACAGTTTTAAATTTTTTTTTTTTTCAACGTTTATTTATTTTTGGGACAGAGAGAGACAGAGCATGAACGGGGGAGGGGCAGAGAGAGAGGGAGACACAGAATCGGAAACAGGCTCCAGGCTCTGAGCCATCAGCCCAGAGCCCCATGCGGGGCTCGAACTCACGGACCGCAAGATCGTGACCTGGTTGAAGTCGGATGCTTAACCGACTGCGCCACCCAGGCGCCCCGAGAAACAGTTTTAAACCTAGCGTTAACAGAAAACTAGCTTTTCTTTCTCAGTTCACGAGAGCCTTAGGGACAGCCAAAGCATATGTAGTGGCCAACGTCAAAGAAATTGCTGTCTATGTTTTCTTCTTGGAGTTTTATGCTTTTAGGTCTCATAGTTGGGTCTTTTCATCCATTTTGGGCTTATTTCTGTGTATGGTGTAAGAAAGTGGTCCAGTTTCATGGTTTGTGTGACCATGTAAGCCTGGGTTTATTTCCGGGCTCTCTATTATGTTCCATTGATCTATGTGCCTTATTTCTGTGCCAGAATCATACTGTTTTGATGACGACCGCTTTGTAGTACGTCTTGAAATCTGGGATTGCGATACCTCCAGCTTTGTTCTACGTTCTCAAGGTTGCTTTGGCTATTTGGGATATTGTGTGGTTCCATACAGATTTTAGTATTATTTGTTCTAGTTCTGTGACAAATGTTGTTGGTATTGTGATAGGGATTGCACTAAGTATCCATCCATAGATGAATGGGTAGAGAAGATGTGGTATATATATATATATATATATATATATACAATGGAATATTACCTAGACATAAAGAGGATGCGGTCTTGCTGTTTGCAACAATATGGATGGAGCTAGAGGGTATAATGCTACAGGAAGTAAGTCAGACAGAGAAAAATAAATACCCTGATTTCAGTCAAAAGTGGAATTTAAGGAAAAAAAGAGATAAACAACAACAACAAACAGACTTTAAATACAGGGAACAAACTGGTTAGTGGTTGCCAGAGGGGAGATAGGTGGGGAATGGGAGAGATTAAGAGTCTACTTATAGTGGGGCGCCTGGGTGACTCAGTTAAGCGTCCGACTTTGGCTCAGGTCATGATCTTGACGTTCGTGAGTTCGAGCCCCGTGCTGGGCTCTGTGCTGACAGCTCGGAGCCTGGAACCTGCTTCAGATTCTGTGTCTCCCTCTCTTTCTGCCCCTCCCCTGTTCCCACTTTCTCTCTCGCTCTCTCTCTCTCTCAAAAATAAACATTAAAAAAGAGTATACTTACTGTGATGAGTACTGAAAAATGGATAGAATTGTTGAATCATTACATTGTACACCATAAGCTAGTATAACACCGTATGTTAATTATGCTTTTTAAAAAAGTAGAGTGATCCAAAAAAAAAAGGACATATATAACAATTACCAATGGGCCTTGACCATGGCCTTTCCTCTTAGTCCTTCCATACTTCTCTTACTCTGACTATATGTTAATAAAGCTGGCAGATTAGTGTTAAACTATGTAACCACTTTCTATCTTGTGAATTCAAATACTTCAAAACAGTATACCACAATGTCAACTGTCTGAACTTGGCATTTGTGCCAAGGTATACCTCTTCAAAGTCTATGATATGAAAGGGTTCTTGTACAGAGTATAAAAGAAAACCAAATTTCAAAGATGGATGTATAACTGCTTTAAAAAATTAACTTTCCTGTGCCAACTAATAACAACTTGCTTCTTATTTCCAAAGATTCGTGTTGTTATTAGTCTTTTGTATACTAGTTAAAATGAGTAATGGGGACAGAAAGAAGAATGTTCAGTTATATGGTTAAAACAAAAAGCTCCCCTTGCTTTTCTTAATTTTCGAATCATCAAAACATACATTTAATGTACGCCCGTGTGGTTTATTGACCTCCATTCCTTCTCGTGAAAGCGACCACTAGCTAAGAAGATGCTTAGAGGTGGGGAAGATAACAGCTTGAACGACCGATGCAACTATAATCTACCTCCCCAAACATTTCCACGTCTGGCTGAAAGGTTGTTTGTGATGCTTTAACAAAAGGAAAACTTTCTATGGAATGATTGCATAAGAGAATTACTAATAGAAACAACCTTAGAAGGCAATGTTTACTATAAGGCAAGACATTTAGGGACTAAGGATCCAGGCTCTGGAATAATACCGCCAGAGACTGAATCCTCACTCCATCTGGAGGCCAAGTTCCCGAACTCTGTATACTCCAGTGAGGATATAACGACAACCACTTCATATCTATTCACAGTGGGGAGGCAAGGTTAGGTAAATATGAGATGCTTAGAACAGCGCTTGGCACTAGATGAGAACTTGGTCAAAGTTGTTATTCTTCGTGATGTAATTGAGGGTACTGTTGATCATCCCACAAAACTTGAGAAGTTTTGCACATTGTCAAAGGAGGCAGGGTGATCAGCTGTGGAAGACCAGCTGGCCACTAAAGTTCCTGGTGGCCTGGGGTGTGGCCCTCATGCTTCATGGTCAGGTTTTCAAGTTCATGAGCATGGAATTTTTATTTTCTTGATATTTCAGAGGCAACTGAGTTTCAGCGGACTAAATCCACAGTATCTAAACTCACAAGGGACTGTGACCTGGTTCTGGAATCTCACTGTCAAGTTAACTGAACGTTTATGTATTTACGTTAATGGTTCTGCACCTTCTGTCCATAGTTAGGTGCAAATGGGGGGAGCTAAGCTCGCTGAGCGTTGAGTCAGAGCATCAGGCGACAGCAGGATCTGCTTCCTCACGTGGGTGACCAAACCCAGTTCCTTGGAAGAGTGGGATGTCTCCAGTGACTTGTCTTCCCCGGACGCTCCCATCAACCTCAG